GAAAGCATTGGGTGCCTGGGCAGAGCAGGTGCTGAGTTGGGCTGTGCTCTGCCTGTCACCTGGATTTCTCCCTCCAAATTGGGGCTTTCTGTGCCATGATCAGACATCCTCCCATTCACCTCGTCCATCAGATGAGCTGCATCTTCACAGGACAGTGTTTTCTTTCTTTCCCTTTTCCATCCTTTCTTTACCCAAGCTCCGACTGTCCTTTGAAGCTGCTTTTGCAGGTTTCCTCACAGCCAGGGACGTCCCCATGGTGCCAGCCCTGGTTTGGGGATGGAGATGGGGAAAACGTCCCTTGAACCAGTGCCATGTTGAACCCATCCCAGTTTTGCTGTCACCCGTGTCGCTGGCTCTGCTGTGTGTTTCTGCACAGGCACGAGTGGACTGGGGAGCGTGGTGCCACACGCAGGGAAAAACAAAGAGCTCCAAAGGCAAATACATTTTTGGAAAGGATGCGTTTATTTCCCTTTATTTATCTTCCTAAAGCTTTTGGATTCATCTTTTTGATCTTCCCCCTGCAGCTGCACGGCCAAGGTTTGGTTTATCTCAGCTGACATTGTGCTGAGAGCACACGGCTTTGCAAGGTGGGCATTAAGGAAGGGCAGCTGAATTCCTTTGGCCTCGAGAGGAGCAGTGTGTTGTGCTAACTTTAGTAAGGAGCAACTAAAAAGAGATGCAATAAAAGTATATTAAAAATAGCAAATGGCCATAGAAAGTGGATCTGAGACTTTGAGTGTCCCTGCTCAGAAACGTGGGGCTGTTCAGGAGGAATGGAAAAGTGACAAATTACAGAGCGGTGCAGAGCACCCCACTGCTTGTGCAAAGCCAAGGTGAAGCCACTTAGAAACAGGTAGAATAGATCAGAAAAATGTAGGTAAAAAAATACAGAAATAGAGACTTAGAAGAGTTATCAGCTCCCCTGTGTCCCCCAGCTCTTGGAGCTGGGGATACAGCCCCCCAAATTCCTTGTTTTGTAAAAACATCTCCCAGCTGACATTCCTCTTTGCTTTTTCTTTCTTCCCCCATTTGCAAAATGCTAACTCTGCTCCCTCGCCCGTCTCTCCAATTTGGAGCAATTTACTGGGAGCCGGGGATGAATTACTCAGCACAGAGTTAACCAGCACCTGCTCGGAGTTAATTGGCATGTGTGCTAATTGCTGTGATAGTCACACTTGTGCGAGTGCGGGGGGTGGGGGTGGTGGAGGGCGGGGGGTGATGTGCGGGCGCTGGCGGCTGCCTCTTCCAGCACTTCTCGCTGCCTCCCCGGGGCGATGCTGAATTCCCTGATCCTCGCCGAGATTCCCTGGGGCGGGAGAGGGACAGGGTGGCTTTTTGCCGGTGCAGTGCCAGTGGTTTGCTTTCCAGCAGGTTTGTAGGTCCCTTTCGATGCCCTTGGACCTTCCTCGTCAGGCTGTAGCGTTTTCCTTGGAAAACCAGGCTCAGAAGGAAGCTGCTATCTGAGAAAGAACATGTTTTAATGACTGGGGTTATTGTGTTGAATAAAATCACCTGAGACCCCAAAGGTTGAAAGTTATTTAGGAGCTCAACTCCTTTTAACAGTCCTGTGCTCCGGGTGCTTCCCTATATACACGTTCAGGTGCTTAAATTCCACCTGATCATGGAGGGGAGGAGAGTCATGGGTGATCCCGATGCCTCGGGTTGGGCAATCAGGGACACAGAGCAGTTTGGTGGTGAAGGAGAGGGAGCTCCAGGGGCAAAGGGGGTGCTCCTGGGTTGGGGCTGAGCCGGCAGTGGCAGTGCTGGCATGGGGGGCAGGAGGAACAAAGGCAGCTCTCCAGGTTTCTTGCACTTCCAGGTGCTGATCAGAAACTCAAGCCTGTGGTTGGACTTTCTGAAACAGCCACCCGGGCAGGAAACGTGAAAATACCTGGGTTTAAAAATATGGTGGGGAAAAACCCCCAACCTAAAAACAAATAAACCCACCCCCAAACCCCAACTCCAACACCAGGAGCATAAAGAGAAAAGGGAGGAGTTTGAAATCCCCTCTGTAGGGTGCATTTGGAGGGCAGCAAACATGCCTTGCTCTTCTTCATCCCTCCTCTTTGTCCCATCTGATGGTTGCCCTTGCAATGGGGTGTTTTCCTTTCCGTGCAGGGGAGAAGGATCAAGAGCATCACATGGCAGCTCCTTTTCTCCCCATGATGATGAGCAAGAAACTGTTAAGTTGCCTTTTTCTTGTGGAGAACTTTACCCAGTGGCATGAGCAAACCCTGAAGCTGGGACAGCGGTCCCCATCCAGCCGAGGTGCTGAGGATGCAGGATTTGGGATTCAGAGCAGCAGGAGGAATCTGATTTGGTGGTTGAAAAAGGGGATTTGAATTGAAACACTTGGGGTTTATTTGTGGCCCAGGGAGGGGAATGTGGTTTGAATCCTGCTGCTCCCATGCAAGAAGAGTCGGCTCGTGCAGAGGTCAGGGCAGGCATGAGCAGCATTGGGATCTTCTCATCCCTACAAATATCCCATCTCTTTTTGAGCACTCTGGAGCTTTTGGCTGCAATAGCATCCTGTGAACAAGTCCCACAACGAAATTGTGTTAAAATATGTTTCCTTTCACTCAGTTTAAATTTACTGCCCGTTGTTCTCCAGTGTTTATTGTTGCTTCTGGAGAGTTCCTCTCTGGTTTGGACAGTAAATCCACTGTCTTTCAGAGGGTTTCTCTGTCCAAGAGCTGCAGCACTCGGAAAGAATTAGCATCTTGCCCTGGGTCCGGATGTGGAGCTGTTGCTACTTCGTGCTCCTGCTGGCGGTTTTGAAGATGCTGAAGGTGAATATTTTTCAGCCAGTTTAAAGAAATGGCATCTCTGAAGGGAAAAGTGGCAAAGCAAACCCGGCAGAAGTTTTCTCCTCTGCCAAAGTTCTCTGTGCATGCAAAATGCTCACCTTGGCCTCAAGCCTTGCGCTGTGGACTCTGTCCCGTGAGGCCTCACAGTGAGGGAAACACTGAGCTGACACTCCAGGTGGATGTAACAAAAGTCCTCATTTTCCTTTTAACTCTTCTCATATCACCAACCTTTGAGGGATAATCTTGTGGCAGCCCAGCACCTGCATTCCCTGCTTGCTGGTGCCAGCCAGGGCAGTGGTGCTCTGGAACTGGCAATGCTCTGGGACCAGTGATGCTGTGGACTGGTGATGCTGGGGCACTGGTGATGCTCTGGGACTGGTGATGCTCTGGGTCCAGCAGTGCTCTGGAACTGGTGATGCTCTGGGGTCAACGATGCTCTGGGACTGGCAATACTCTGGGACCTATCTTTTTGAGGCTGCCCACAGAGGGACAGGGAGCTGAAGGACATCCCTGGCACTGCTTCAGCATCCCCCGTGGTGACAGTGCTCCTCACAGCCGGACGGTCCCTCCCATTTGCTGCTGGGAGGGAAACACTCACCAATTTTGAGAAATAATGGTCCAAGCAGCAAATGCCATCCCTATATGGTCTGTCCTTGCAAAGAGTCTTCCTGGTGGGATTTACAAGGGAAAAAAAAAGCAGGTTTTGCTGCCCTTTGTCTCTCCGGTCTCCTTCCTGTGCTTCCTCTTGCGCATCCTCCCTGAAGGGCAAATGGTGGATTTTGGGGGTGGGGGAAAACAAGTCTCCCCATTCTCCTCTGGGCTGCTTAAACCTGCACTAAACCATAAAAGATGGTGCACGATGAATAATTTTACCGAAAAAAAAGATTAAGTGACTCACGTGACTCAATGAACCCCAAAAACAAGTGTGGAAGTGAGACCATCAGGGCTTGTTTGTTGTTGAAACATGGTCTGATGAGAGGGCAGAGGACGGGGCCAAGGTCCCTGGGGGCCTTCAGTGGGGCCTGAGGGGGCTCTAGGGTGGGAGAGGAGCAGGAGGAGCTCAGTCAGGGTTGGCTGCGGCTGCTGCAGTGCATTTGGGATGAAGGGATGGAAGAAAAAGCTTTTTTTTCATGCTTTTTGTAACAAGACCAAGAGCTGGGGACTGCCAAGTCAAGGCAGATAGGAAGCTATTTTGGGACTGGCTTTTCCCTCTGTCTGGGTCTTGGCACAGGGCACCTCGCCTTAAATGCAACGTTATCACTGCTGTTATCCAGCCGCTCGCAGAGAGAGCTGGGAGGAAAACATACCTGTGGAAAATGAACTGGCTGAAGTTCCCTCTTTGTCCCCCTCGCTGCACTGCAGCACATGCTGAGAAATGGGGGTGAAATGGGGTTGGGAGGCACCTCTCTCTCAGGAGGTGCCCTGGTACATCTGGATAGAGCCTCTGGCATCAGGGGATGCAGGTGCCCAGGGGGGCTGAGTCCCTGCCCTGTGATCTGCTGTGGGATCCCAGAGGGAGGCTGGAACCATGTGGATGCTCTGGGATCTGTGGACTCACCCCTTTGGGAGAGCTTAGGGCACAAGATACCCCCGAGTCAATCCACACAGCCCCCAGATCAATGGAAACATCCAGTGTCTGGCTGTGGCTGAGCTCAGTGGAAGGCCAGGCTGTCTCAGCTACCTTCAGAGTCTTCCTTTCTCATAAGAATTAGGTTTCTGTGCCTGGTTATAAGGTTTTTTTAAGTAATCAAATAAAGATATTTTAAAATTCCAAATTGAAGATTAGTGCAGAAATTGGAGACGGATTTAAATTGCCCGAGCTAATCACCAGCCACTCGACTACTTATGACTTTATTAAGAGAAAAAAAAAGTCTGGAGTGTCACAGAGGAATAATGATTCATGGGCGCGTTGCTGCCGTCTCCTCCTCCTCCCTGAGCATCGCCATGCCCGGCCCACACGTGTCCTGTGGCGCGGGTGCTCTTGGGCTCCATCCTTGGGGTTCTTCAAGACCAGGTTGGATAAATCCCTTTGCTGCCTTTCTGGCCCCAGAGCTGAATGGGAGGAAGGACCAGAGACCCCCATGGCCTGGGGAGTGGGATCCGCACCGGCGGAGGGAGGATGCCGGGAGGGCGCTGGGTCCTGGATGCGGTTTGGGAACAGACTGGCTCACTCCTGTCTCTCTCCTTGTGCAGGTTTCTGAGCAGCTGCTGACGGCTCAGCCCCGCTGGATCCGGCCGCACACGAGGGTACCATGAACTGAGCACGGAGACACCCAAAACTCTCTTTTTTTTTTTGTTTGGCTTTTTTTGGGTTTGTTTTCCACCCGTGAAAAAAGCCCCTCGACGCTCTTTAATGAAAGCGTTTTGAAGCGGGTTACTTCTCCCCTCCCCTGAGCCGAAGTCGTCCCGGGTGCGGTGAGGATTTCCAGAGAAGATGGGGAGAAAAAAGATCCAGATCCAGCGGATCACGGACGAGCGCAATCGGCAGGTCGGTGCTGCCCCTCCTCGCCCCTTCTCCTCCTGTCCCGGCGGGGATTTTAGGGGTTCTGTTTCAAAACGACCCATTTCCATCTCATTCTGGGCCACTGGTGCTGTTTTATTCCCAACCCATAAAATAAGCAGATGGGTGAGACTCGGCGCCGGGGTTGGATCCAGGCAGATCCCAGAACCAGGCAAAAAGCCCCGTTGCACCACGGCCCCCACCCAGGCGTTGCTCCTCGCCTTGGAGCTCCTCGCGCCGTTTCCATCTAAGTGCTTTTCCAGAAGAAAGTATCTTCTCCACTTAGTTAGTTCCCTTTTTGGTTTTTTTTTTTTTTTTTCTTGCAGAAAATATATTTCAGTTGACATTTTCCATGTGGTTTTTCCAATAAAAAACAGCCACAACAAATACCCATTTTGCTGAACGCAAACAACCCAAATTATTCCTTTTTTTTTTTTTCTTCTCAATTGAAAACTTACATGGCTCCAGGGTTTTTTTCCTTGGGCTGTGTTGAAGCCAAGCCCGAGACACACATGCATGTGCATGTGTGTAGGAATGCATTTGTGTATCTCAGAGGGAAAAAACCCATCAGGTTTTTCCCAAATTGCCGTGTTCCTTGAGCCGGAGCAGCGGAGCAGCAGCTCTTTGCTGGCCCAGGTTTGCTCTGGGATGACTCCATCGGTGTACTCCCCATAACCACAAGACTTCCAGGCAGGTCCCTTTGCTTCCTGTGCTCCTGGAGTTTGGCTAAGCAGATCCAAGCCACTGCCTGTAGTCCAGCAACCTCCACACCCCAGAGTGGCCTGCCACACTTCTGTCCTGATGCTTTTATTACATAAAAACAGAAAAAAAACCCAGCAAAAAAAAGTGTGGATGTATTCCTAATGCTTAAGGAGTGGCAAAGAACAGAACTGGATAACCAGTTTATTGCTCTGCAGCGGAACAATAGGAAATGGCAGGTTTTCCTCATTACAGCTTCATTTGAGGGGAGGGGGCTGGGATGAACATCAAATGGGTTTTGCTGATGTCCCAGTTGCTCCTGGCACTGTTTGTGTCCATAATGAAGAGGAAACGGGGCCTTAGGGGTTATTAAAGGAGCCAGGCTGTATTTTATGGGGCAGCACTGAGGGGGGGAGCAAGGGATCCACAGTGACTGGAGCCCTGTTGGAAGTTCAGACAAATGGAAAATATTTGGTAATGCTGGAGGGGGGTGGCACAGCCTGGCCCTGCTGGATAAGGCTTCGGGAAAGGAAGGAGGCACTTCTCTTCCAGAGACAACAGTCAAGGTGGTGGGGCTGTTTTTGGGGGTCTTGCTGCACCAGGTGGGATTTGGCAGCAGGAGTTGCTCTGCCCAGCTGGGTGCTGTGGCTTTAGCGTGTCTCCCATGTCACGTGTTCTCCCCAAAGCCCAGCTCCCTGGGCTGGGGGACATTGGTTTTCCCCTGGCAGCAGCTGCAGCCCTGGCTGGGCTGGTTCTTCCAAAACCCAGTATGGGAGCATTGCTCCCCACCCCAGCACGGCACATCTCGCTTTGCTTCCCAAAAACCCAGCCCTGTTGAAGTTGAGTGTCAGCAAAGCTGCAGCTGTTTAATTGGTCATCAGTGCAGCTTTGCAATCAGTTACTTTCGCTGCTCCCTTTCTTTGGGAAACAAGGACACACCAGGAAGATGGGACATTTTGTGAAGGGCTGCTCCAGGCAGTGGGTTGCTGATCTGCTCTATCCACCACAGTGGGAGCTGTAAAGGGGGTGAGAACCCTCCTGTTCCACACTGTACATGAGCAGTGCCAGGATTTGCTCCCCAGAGTCAGAAGTGTCCCCTCTTGCTTCATCTCATGGAATCATGGGATGGTTTGGGTTGGAAGAGACCTTAAAGACTGTTTTGTCCCACACCCCTGCCATGGCCAGGGACACCTTCCACTAGCCCAGGTTGCTCCAAACCAAATCCAACCTGGCCTTGAACACTTCCAGGGATGGGGCAGCCACAACTTCTCTGGGCAACCTGTGCAAGAGCCTCCCCACCCTCACAGGGAAGGACTTCTTCCTTAACATCCCACCTAAATCTCCCATTCATCATTTTAGAACCATCCCCCCTTGTCCCATCAATATCTGCCCATGTGAAAAGTCCCTCTCCATCTTTTTTATAAGCTGAAAGGCCGCAGTGAGGTCTCCCTGGAGCTGCCTCTTCCTTCTCTCTCCCGTGTCCTCCCTCTCCGGCTGTTATTGCGGATCAGCGGTGAGAGGCGTCGTGCGTGCTGTGGGCTGCTGGCTAAGCTGGCTTAAACCCATTGTCTGGGAGCATCCTCAGCCCACCCCTGCCTCCACGGCAGCCCCCGCGCTCTGGCTCGGCGCGGGGGGCACACTTGGCTCTCCGGTACCGTGCCCCAGGAGCGGAGCAGCCTGGCACTGATGAATTATGGATGGGGCTTTGTGCCGCGGTGCTGCTGCTGGAAATGTAGGGCTGGCAGCTCTGTGCACCATCCTCGGTGTGCCCGGATGGCTCCCGTGGCACCTGCGCCTGTCGGGAGAGGGAGAGATGAGGAATGGGAGTAGCGCAGGGATGTGCTGGAGAAGGGTTGTGTGAGGAGCTGGAGGCAGAGCCGCTCTCGACACCTGCGGTTCCACTTGTGCTGCCGAGGATTTCATCCCTAACCGTGGTTTGAGGGCTGCTGAGGCATGGTGAACCTCAGGGAGAGTTAAGGCTGAACAGGGGCTCTCCAGGGCCTTCACTGTGAGATGAAGTTCTTCCCTCGCATCTCACACTGAGCCTGCGGCATCAGTGAGTCTGACCCTGCTCATGTCCCACGCTCTGCCTTTCATGGGGGCACAGACCACAAACCCACATGGAGGCTCCAACAGCACGTGGAGTTGCTGGAGTGGGTCTGGAGGAAGCCACGGAGATGCTCTGAAGGCTGGAGCACCTCTGCTCTGGAGACAAGCTGGAGCAGCTGGGATTGTTCAGCCTGGAGAAGAGAAGGCTTTGTGGAGACCTTGGAGTGCCTTCCAGTGCCTACAGTGGCTTCAGTAGAGCTGGAGAGGGACTTTGGACAAGGACCTAGAGAGAAAGGACAAGGAGGGGATGGTTTTAAACTGAAAAGGGAGAGAATTTAGGTTGGATATTAGGAGGAAATTCTTCTGTGTGAGGGTGTTGAGGCCCTGGCACAGGTTGCCCAGAGAAGCTGTGGCTGCCCCATCCCTGGAAGTGTTCAAGGCCAGATTGGACAGGGCTTGAAGCAACCTGGTCTCACTGAAGGTGTCCCTGCCCGTGGCGGGAGAATGGGACAAGATGAGCTTTTAGATCCCTTCCAGCCCAAAGCACTGTGCGATTCTGTGAATTACAGCAGCAGCCAAAACCAGGGGACGAGAGCAAGTAAGAGTCACTAATGTCATTAGAGGAATTACTGGAGAGGATTTGCCACGACAGATCAGGCCATCAGTCCTTCAGGGCCAGGCCGCTGACTCTGGCAACCGCCAATATGGTTTGCATCAGGGGAAAGGCAAAAATCCCCTGCTAGTGTGGGGCAGTAATTCCTTCCTGACCCCTTTGGTGATCGGCTTATGCCCTGAAGCATGAGATTTGATTACCTTCTTAGACTTACGAGGTTAATTCTTCTAGATCGGGTTCGTGCACAGCGTCAGGGGAAGGTTTGGGGTTTCTGTCCCGGGTCACGGGTGGATGCCCAAGGCAGCATTAGGTGAAGCCTTTGTGTTATGTGGTGGCTAAATGGTAAATCTTTGCTTTTCTCTGGAAGAAGCAAGGGTGCCAAGACAGAGGGATGCTCCTCTGCCCTGTTCCTGTCTGCAGAGGGAATATCTCCTCATCTGTAGAGGGATAATTTGGTGCTTTGGGTTCTGCTCAGCTCTGCCCAGGTTGCTGGTTGGTTTGGGGAAGGTGACCCCACACTCAAGGGCAAAACCCAAACCAAACTTGTTCCTGGTCTTCATTGCCAAGAGCTGCCCCCTTGCTCACATGCCTCGGCCTCACCCTGTTGCCTCCGATCTTGGTGGATGAGAGGTCTCATGGTGCTTGGCAAGGTGTGTTTTGGTGAGGTATCCCCAGCACTGGCAGCAGCAGAAGCAACCACCCTCGGCTGTTCCCTCTGTCTTGGCAGAGACATGGTGTGTTTTCCTCTTAGGGGCTCCTCGGGCTGCTTAGAGGGTGAGTCAGAGCTGTGGGGCTGTCCCGGCGGGACAGCGAGGCAGGTCGTGCCAGGCTGTGGTGCTGCCGGAGCGGCGGCAGAGCACCTGGTCTCTGGCAGGGACGTGGGGCAGAGCACCTGGTCTCTAGCAGGGACATGGGGCAGAGCACCTGGTCTCTGGTAGGGACGTGGGACCAGAAACGCTGCTGCCACAGTGCTGGGGAGCCCTGGCTTGGTTTTAGTGCCTGTCCTGCCATGGAGGAGCAGAATATCAGCTGACCATGTGGCCACTGGCTGCTGCGTGGCACTGCCAGCTCTTTCATGGGAGCAGCCGGGTCCAGCACCTGGCAGCAGCGATTTTGGGTGGCCAAGAGGCCCAGGATGCCACCGAGGAGGGGAAATTGCTGATGACACCAGAGCTGGCCCCCAAGTAATTTAATTTGTGTCAGAGCGTGCCAGGGCTGGGGCAGCGCTGGCAACGTGAGCACCAGTGCTCTCAGCCCGGCTGCAGCGAGAGCGGGCGCACGTGGAGGGCGCAGCGGTGTGGGGTGCCAGCCCTGCACTTTCCAGGGGATGAGGTGATTAGAGCTGAATCTCGTTACTGCTTAATCATCTCTGGGAGATGGTGGGGAGGGGCAGCAGCTCCCTGTGCCGAGTGTGCCCAGACCTGCCCCTGCTCTGCCCTCCCACCACATGTGGGGACACGGCTCTGTCTCGAGGGGTGCAGGACCCCGGGGGGTGTGTGCTGGGTGCTGTGGCAGCATCGTGGTGGCACTGCTCCTCAGCACTGGTGTGGGCTGGGAAGCTCCGTGTTGAGCTCTTTGGACTGTGGCTGTGAGGCCACTGACTCGGGTTGAGCAAAGGCAGCAGCCTCCTTCACTCTCCTCCCTCAGCTCTGCACATTAAAGCTGTTCAGCTGCAAAATCGATGCTGTGGTGGAGGCCCAAAGTGGGGTCGAGCCCTCCTGTGCAGCGAGGGAGCAGCTCTCGGCACCCAAGGGCATCTCAGCTCGACTCCAGCCCTTCACCCGGCGGCTGCTTCACCCCCAGAGCGATGCTTAGAGCAAAGCTGTGACCTCCTGCCTTTTATTGTCTTTTTCTGCTTTTTATTTGCTGAGAGGGCATTGGCCAAGCATCACGCCTTCCCCAGCAGTGTGCCACGTGTTCTGGAGGGGTGAGGGACCCTCAACAGCTGTCTGCACTGCAGCAGGGACTGGGAGCCCCAAACCAGCTCCCTCCCCTCCAGCTGGGTCCTGTTAGGAGCGTGGCAGCAAGAGCTGAGTGTGGGCTGGGAATCGCAGCCCAATGTCTGCCCGGCAGCTGGAGCGGGTGTTGGAGCCAGCACCCAGTTTGGCCCCGGGCCCCAGCCAGCTCACCAGGATCAGTCCTGCAGAAGCTGCCTCATTACCCAACAGCTCTGGTGACAGCTCAAGGCAGGGCAGGTTGGGGGACAGGGGACCCCAGTAGGCAGGCAATGCAGAAAACCCCCCAACAAGGTTATGGGGACAGCAAGAGGGAGCACGGGGGGGTCGGGGTGCCCTTGGGGAAGCACAGCCTCCCAGGAGAAGTGGGGGCTGCTGAGCAGGACAGTGAGTCAAGGGTGGGGTGGGCACCCCAAGGCAGCTTCAGGGTGCTGAGCCCCCAGCTCTGCAGCCCCTAAGGTTGGGTGCTCACAGTGCTGCTGCAGCAAGCGAGGACGAGATCTCCATCGCTTGAACATTCGACTTAAAAACCACCGAGAACCCGCAGCCCCCAGACAGATGGCAGCTCTGCTGGGGATTTTGCTGAAATTTATTTTCTCTTGATTTGGCAATATGTGATTTCCAACGCTGATAATCATCTTTGTGCTTGTGAAGTGTCTGCTTTTGGAGGATCCCAAAATAGGCATCGATATGAACCGGTTGGAAGAGGGGAAAAAAGAGAGGAGAGCTTGGGGTTGGGTCCATTTGAGGAAACTGCCCTCCCTTTCCTTTTGCTCTTTGTCCAGTGGTCATTCCATTTGTCTCTGGGAGGTGTCAGGTCTGTGGCAGCATGGACAGAGTTTCTGACCACGCCTGTCCTTGCTTTCAGGTGACCTTCACCAAGCGCAAGTTTGGCTTGATGAAGAAAGCCTATGAGCTGAGTGTCCTGTGCGACTGCGAGATCGCCCTCATCATCTTCAACCACTCCAACAAGCTGTTCCAATATGCCAGCACCGACATGGACAAGGTGCTGCTCAAGTACACCGAGTACAACGAGCCCCATGAGAGCCGGACCAACGCAGACATCATCGAGGTGAGGCCACCCGTCCGCTCCCCGGCTCTGCTGTTGTGGTGGAGCCAGGACTGGGTCTGGCACCCCGCCGAACACAGGAGTTTGGTGCAGGGTGGGGATGGAGCGAGCAGACATTCCACACTCAGTGCCAGATGGATTTTGCATCATTTTGGTTCAGCCTACAAAAACACTCCATTTGGGTGGTAGAGTTGAAGCTGTCTCGAGTTACGTGTTGACCTGCTGCCTTGAAACTGAGGTGCAGGTTTGCTTTGTGGGACTTTGCTGTGGTCCAGACAAACTATGTGTTTGGAGGCATCTCATGGAGTTGCTGCACTGGGTTGCCTGGTGCAACTGGTGGCATTGCCACAGCCCAGTGTTCTGACAGGCACAGTGAGGTGGTGGGAGGGCACGAGGAGTTCAGATGAGAGGGACCTTGGGCGCCTCTAGTCCGGCCCCTGCTCAAAGCACGGCCAAGCTCACGGGTTGGTGGGGTTGCTCAAGGCTTGTCCATCTGTGTTTTGTGGGTCTCCAGGGATGACCCAACCAAGTCCAGTCTGACCCACCCTGGCACTGCCACTGACACGTCCTGACGGTGCTCATTGCAAGGCTGCTCTCTCCAGTCTGCTGGCATTGCAGGAGATGCTCAGCTGCCATGTGCTGTCAGTGCCCCTGTGCTGGCCCTCTCCACTGCTTTGTCCTCATCCCTGGTGCTGGCAGAGCATCACCAGGCCCAAGCACACGGCGTTTGGCTCACACAAAGGTGCCAGCGGTGCCTCAGTCATTGGTCACATCCACGGAGATAGAGCTGTGGGGTCATCAGGTGCCATTAAATCTGGGCAAACGAAGGGCTTGGCTGGGTAATTAGCAGCATTATGGCATCAATTAATACCTGCAGAGCCGCTGGTGACAGAGAGGAGCCCTGTGCTGCTGGAGGAATTGGGCTGAACCACTTCTGCCTTTGAATCCCTTTGGTGCATCTTGGCCAGCAGGCTCAGGCTTTGATTTCATGAAGGAGAAGGGAAAAAACCCAACCAGCCCCCTAAATCTTGCTTTCTTTTTGTTTTTATTCTCTATGAAATGTGTCTTTTTGAGAGGTTTGGACTTGAGGTTTTCACCTCGTTGTCCATCTAGTTGAGCCATGGCCAAGCATCTGGCAGCATCTGCCTTCTCTCACTGGGGCTTGGAGACTCTTCTCCAAGCACAGTTTCTTCTCACAGTTGCGTAGGGGCCTTAGAAATGGTTCAGAAATGTCCTTTTTGGCCCATTTGAGCCAGGTGATGCCCCTTCTCTCTGAGGATGCTCAGGTTTTGCAGGCATGTTTCCCTGCCACGCTCGCCAGCGCAGCCTCTCCGGGATGCTCAGACTGCGGCGCTTGCAGCGCCGAACAGATTTGTCTTGGCCTAAAAATACCGTAAACATTTTGGGCAGCGTTCTCTGTTCCCGTATGGTCCAAGATGCAAACACTCCCAAGCCGACAAGTTACACACAGTCCTTGGCACCCAAAGAAACACTGTGTTTGCACCACATGAAAAGCTGGATCTGCATCCAAAGCCAAGGAGAGGAACATCGGGAGCGGAAGGATATTGGTGGATGGCAAGAAAAAGAGCCCAAACACGCTGGGCTCGGCACATCTTGCTGGCAGAGCTGTCACGGAGCGAAACCCACTGGGGTGAAGGCAGTTCTGGAGGCTGCTCAAGCTTCCTTCCTCATCTTCTTCTTGTCTTGGAACAGGGTTAGGGCTGCTCTAAGATTTTTACCAGTTTCTCTCCCACATCCATGCCCCCAGGAGACCATTCCTGCTCCTGGTGCTGATTTCCATTTCCCCTCACCCAGGTCAGGTCCCACCAGCCCAGCTGTGTCCCCACTGCACACAAACCCAATTTATCTCGTTTCTTGATGTCTCCCAGTTGAACATGAGTCCCAGAAAGTATCTTCACATTTCAGAAGTTTCCCTTGTTAAGCATTTAGAGACCCTGAAGGTTGAGGCTGGGAATTTGTCACCAAATATGATTTTAAGTGGATTTCAAGGACCCACCTTCCCTGTGATGCCCACAGCCCCTTCCTGCCGAGGGATGCAGCTCTGGGGGACTCTGGCTGGATGGATGAAGAGCAGCTGGGACCTGGGGGAATCAAGGCAGAAGCCTCCTGATTTTGTTTTCCTGGTGGAGGGGGAGTGGGTGGTGGCTCTGGAGGTTGGGCACTGTTACCACAGCTCAGGGCAGGACAAGTTGCTCTGTCCAAATTATGTTTTAAAACAACAGTAAACGTGAGGATCTCCTGGTTTTTGGCTGTGGGGAGAGGCATCTGTGTGGGGAGCACTGGAGGCACCCCAGCCCATGCTGCACAGGAATGCCCTGGAGCAGTTTATCCCCCTGGATATTTAGCAGGAGGCAGAGCTGCTCTGGGATGAGCGTACACAGCCCTAGTTCAAGAGGGGTTCCACACCCCCCGACTGCCTTTTGGGGACCATCCCCCACGGGGGCATCCCTGTGTCTCAGCCACGCCAGGGCTCGGCAGTGGCTGTCGTGAGCGAGATTCAGCCGCGCAACCCCTGCGGCTTCTCCGTGCCCGGCAAAGTCCTGGCTGTTGGAAGCTTTTAAGTCTGAGAAAATCTCTCTAATGCAGAGAGGGGGGTTTCCTTAATCAGGCGGGGGACAGCTGAGCCCCCAGACAGGCACGCTGGGTGCCACGTGCGCGCCCGGCCTGGGATCACGCCGGCTTTGCTCCTCGCTGTCGCTTCTCGTTTCCTCGCAGCCCGGCTGACGTGCCAGTTTCTGATGAGGGACTTGGGCAGAGCAGAGCTCACTGGGCACTGGGATGCTCCACAGCCAGTTAAAGCCACACAGCCATTTCTGTCCTTTCCTTGGCTGAATGTTCTGCAGGGGGGCTGATTTTCCCCTAATTCTCCTTCCTGGAGTTGTCATTCCCCAGGATGTGTAAAATCAGGCATTTTGCAGGATGCTGGGGAGGCGGCGAAGTTCAGAGGCAGCTGCCAGTGTCGCATCTTCATCCTCATCCTCATTCTCATCCTTATCCTCGTCCAGACTTCCCCAAAGCCCAGGGTGGTTGAGTCTCCCTCCTCTAAGGGAAGTCAACCACATCCTGGTCAAGCATCGTTTCCTCTCACATGTTCTGCATTTCCTGCTGCTCTCTCATGCTCTTCAGGTTGGAAGTGTGCTCCTGTGTGAGCTGGGATCATGGGAGTGGGAATATTTCCTGGAAAAGAAGGACCTGCAGTGGATCCTGATAGAATGGGGGTCCTGGGGGTGGCAGCAAGAGGGGCAGACGATGAGCGAGGTCAGTTTTTGCTGTGGGAAGTTCTCACCCTGGTTTTCTCCTCTGAAAATTTTCTGCTCGGAAAGAATTGCTTTTAAGTCTCTTTTGTATGAAAAATAGTCGTGTTCCACTGGCTGCAGCCCAGTGACAGAAAGGTTTCCTGAAAACCTCTTTGTATCTTCTGTTTTTACCCTGGCAAAGAGAATGACGAGGAATGAGAAGGAAAGCTCTTTTCTAAAAGACCTTGCAGAGATCCCGAAAACAGGAATCTTTGAGTTTGATTCCCGCTCCAGTAGGATTGTTTTCCTTTTACATCATCTTAAAAAGCTAAAAATGTGGGACACACATTTTTTTTGTCAAAAAAAATGAAAGAACCAGCAGCCAATGCCTGTATGGCTGAAAATGGCATTTTTTTGTCCCAAACCTCTTGTTGAGCAGCAGATTGCTGCGAGCTGGGCTGCCTTGGCTCGTGTCCTGCTGCGACTCGGGCCCTGGTCACTCACCGCCGCCGGTGCTTCCCGTCCCACCGCGCTGCAGATCAGCCCCGTCCTCGGCTGTGCCAGCTCTGGAGCTCGTCCCCTTCCCCTTCCCCGCAGCTCCAGCAGCCCCTCGCTGTGGCCAGGGTTACAGGCAGGGTTACAACAGGCTTGGGGCGGGGATGACAGCGCTGCAGCAGCCCCTCACAGCTCGGGATGCTCCAAACCCACCCAGGCAGGGAGCTGTGGGTCTCACAGACAATGAAGTTATGACTGATTTTAAGAAGTTGGTGGCTGGGAAGAGCGAGGAGACCAAGGTAAAGCTGCGTTGGGCACTAAATATGTTAGACCCACAGAGAAAGACCTTGGGAAAGGCAAAGGGTAATGCTGTGAGCTGTTTCAGGGTCTAGGTGAGCAGAGCCACGTCCACCCCATTCCACTGCTTTCCTTGACAGCCTTGTTGAGGAAGCAATCCCTGGGATGATTTCATGAGGACTTAGAAATGGCAAAATACTGTGGCTGGTGGCAGCAGCCCCTCACTCATCCCTGCTCTTGGTTTGGGTGGTGAATGGGGGGCAGAGGCAGGGGCACTGGGAGCTGTCTGAAACATCCAGGCCTCTGTGTCATTGCTGCAGGTTTTAGGAAGGAGAAGGATGTTTTTGCTTGGCTGAAACCTCTTAAAAATTCTGTTGTGAGGTTCCCTCCTTCGAAGGTCCCAGGGGATGGCCATGGCTCGTCCATTCCCACAGCTTCTGAACCTGCCAGCAGCTGTTGCTGGAGGAGAGGAGCTTCCAGGGATGTGAGGGATTGCTTTCCCAATTCCCAGCCACGGATGGGAGGGCAGAGGTGTGAGGTCCAGTTCCTGTCCTTGCAAAAGGAATTGTGGTGAGATGGGCACAGCCCCTGAGACACCAGAGAGTCTCCCCAGCACCCAAAGGAAACCCAGCCTCAACCCTTCTGCTGATTATGGAACAACTTTTTCCATTTTTCCTCTGAAAGAGAAAAAGGAAAAAACTCTTTTTTTTTTTTAGAGAAAAGCTCAACTTTCCGTCTTTCAGCTGCATTGGTGAAACAAAAGGTTTTGGAAAAAAAATCCACAAAAAGCAGTTTCAAAAAAAAAAAAAAAAGAAAGCTAAGCTGTTCCTTCCCCACCAGCAGTGCCTCTTCCTCTTTTGGGCCATTCTGAGAACAAACAAGGACACATAAAAAAATAGAAAAATAGTAGGGAAAAATCCTCGGGAACCTGCAGAACGAGCCCTGGGAATCTCCCATTCATGGCAGTGACTCCAATGCCCACTGCCTTTCTCTATAGAGGGACAGCACAGGAACTTGCGGTACCAGGAATTATTAGGAATATTATTGTTGTGTATAAGAATTATTCAGAATCATTATTATTAGGTAATTAGTTAATAGTTATTAGGTAGCAGGAATTACTGGTAATGCCAAGCAGAGTGTCAGATGCCACTGTGGCTGGGAGCGAACCTGGTCCTTCACTGCTGGAGCTGGACCTGGACGAGGACATTTCCCTTCTGTGACTGAATCCAGCAACGAGAGTGAAAATGGCGCCATGGAAGGAGTAATTTTAATGGAAAATATTGTGAAAAACTTCAGCTGGAGGGAGAACAGGCTGGGGGTGGGTGTGGTGCCCATTGCTTGGCCGTGGCCACCTGGCACAAGCATCCACTAAGCCAGGCCTGCAGGAGAAGTGGAGCTGTGTGGCACCAGTGCTGTGCGGACCAGTGCTGAGCATGTCCTACCCGCGGCATTCCCAGCCTTTCTGGAGACATCCCGGTTTTTATTCTCTCCAGCAAAACTTCCCCTGCAAGCCCTGTGTTTCCCAGAGCTCACAGGTAGTGGAAGAGCCACTCCTGAACACACTTTGGCCTCAGAATGGAGATGTTTATTGCTGTTTAGGAAGACAGAGAATTGTCAAGACTTTTTTTTCCCCCCACTGCTGGTTTTGGCATGAAAAGGGACCGAGACTTCCAGGAAATTCTGTAGCTTTGACTTCTAAAAAAAACTGAGTTGGCAAGTGCTGGTTCCATCATAACGCCTGATTGCTTTTGTTATGTTGAAAATAGAGCGCTTGAATGTGGATCTCAACTGGCTGCTGAGCACGAGCGAGGGACATTGGGGTGTCACTGTCCCCTGTGCATGGCCCAGACAGGCGGTCACTGGGCTCCTCCTAACGAGGAGATGTCACCTTGTTACCTTGGTGCAGCAATGCTGGGGACCTTTCCTGCTCGTGAGTCCAGTCTTGGCGTGGGGTTTGCTGCCCAGTGTTGTCACCGTCACCCCCCTGTGCCACCCCCAGCAGAGCTCGCAGCTGTCACTGTGCCACATGCCCTGTCCTGTGATGCTCTTCCTGTGGCACCTTTGTGTTTGGTAAATGCCACCCAGCTGGTTTTGTCAAGGATGAGCTACTCTTTGCTTATAATTTCGGGGTTCTATTTTTCTGTTTGTGAGCAGGTTTTCCCTGGTTTTTGCAGTAAAGCAGAGAGCATTAAGGTTTATTTCCCCTCCATGATGTGGTACCTGTAGGTGACAAATGTGCCTGAGCTGGTGTGGGGCCAAGTTCAGCTCCAGCGTAAACAGAGCCTTTGAAAGCAAGGAAGTTTCTCTCCATTCCTCCCTGTGCTGTAATTCCTAAATTAGAGATGCCCTGTCATCAAAACCTAGGATCTCTATCCTGACTTTTTGACCCTGTTGAGGTCAACAGCATCTTGGGGCCATGGTGTTGATTTGTGTGAGGGCAAGTCGTGATCCGTCCGGGCTGGTGGGTGTTCTGGGGGGGACCTGCCCGTGCTCCCCATCCCCACTCCTGGATCTCAGACTGTCACGGTTGTGTTTTCAGACATTAAGAAAGAAAGGTTTTAACGGCTGTGACAGCCCAGAGCCCGACGGTGACGACTCCATAGACCAGAGCCCTTTGATGGAGGATAAATACCGCAAAGGCAGCGAGGATCTGGATATCCTGTTCAAGCGCTACGGTGTAAGTACCTGCCCATGGCTGGAAAACCCTCATTATATGTTCTTTTCTGTTTTGTTTCTCTTCTGTTCGACTTCCTCCCAACCTCGTCCCCTGCTCCCTCCCCGACACCCCCCGTGTCCCCCCAAACGTAACAGGCGCTGAACAAGAAGCACAGGGAGTGCGAGAGCCCGGAAGGGGATGAAGTGTTTGCGCTGACCCCGCAGACGGAAGAGAAATATAAAAAGATTGATGAGGAGTTTGATAAAATGATGCAGAGTTACCGGCTCGCAGTGAGTAGCTGGTGGCCTGCAGCCCCCCGGTCCCCTCCCCGGTGCCTCCAGGTGACGGGGGGTGGATTTTGCATGGCTTTGCTTCGGAGCCGTGCCATGCCTTGGGAGCCGATGCCCGCAGCCCCCACAGCCCCGAATGCAGCCGGCTCTGACAGGTGAGATGCACGAGGGGCCTTGAGGGTCCCTCCTGTTTCCCACCCTTGAGAAAACGGTTCCCATTAGCTCCAGTGTCCTGAGCTTTCCTAGCTCTGTCTGGACAGTGTAGGAGGATATTGTCTCTCTTCCCTCCTCTGCTGCAAATACTGAATTAGTGCCTCCTTTTTCACCTTCTTTTCCCCACAAAAAGAATTTTTGTTTGGGTTGAGATTCCAATGTTCATGTGAGCTGGTGGTGGGTGCCGACCCCTCACATCCCTGCGGGGCTCAGCCTGTTTTGGGCTGTTTCACATTAATTCCCCCCAAATCCACCAAGCCCTCGGGGCAGCTGGTGGCCGTGGCAGAAATCCAGGGAGGTTTTAGCCTGTGATCCCAGAGCTGTCACCAGCACCGGGGTGGCATCAGGACAGTGCTGAAAGGGATTTGTGTCAGGAGACAGGAGGAGGAGGGGGACGTGTTTCAAATTAGTTGTTAGTTCAAGGGAGCAGAGACTGTCGATGCAGGCAACGGCTTTTCAGGGGGATTAGCCCCGAGTTGCTGCAGCCATAATTAATGCTGTGGGAGCAGGAGGGAGGCTCCTTTTCCAGGGGTGGATGCAGCACAGCAAAAATGACACACACACCCCCCAGCAAAATAATCTGTCCTTCTGTGCTTTGCAAACCCCCCACAAGTTAAAATTCTGGCTTTTCTCGAGAGCTAGGTCTTGTGAAATCCCCAGTTTTTATTTTGCTGACTCAGTGCTGTGTTACTCCAGGAGCCTCACAAGGACCCCAAAATCTGCATCTCCATCCCTTACATCTTGGGGTGGAGGGGGTGAGGAGACTGCTCTGAGACCTGGGAGGGCTGAGGAGTGGACAAGAGTGGGGTGCAGGAGGTGATGGTTGCTCGCAAATCTGCTGTGACAGTGAGCCCAGGCCCACGGGTGGGTTCAGGGCAGGATTAGCTCTGGTGAGGCTTGGTCTACCTCATCCTCCCTGGTTTCACTAGTGGGGGGCAGCTGTCCACCTTACCAGGGCTTGTGTGGTGTGGGCGTACAACCCCAGCTGGACGTGCACCTCCCTAGCACCTGGCACAAGCCCTGCCACTAGCACAGAACAGGCCCAAAAGCCACCTGAGCTTTCCCCTTGGATAGAGGGGGCTGCTCAGCCTCAGTACATATCTGCTGCAGAGGGAGGGCTCCCAGCAGACCCTCGTCATCCAGACATGCCAATCCAGAGGGACAATCCCCAAAGTCCTTACGGCTGATGGCATTCAGGCACTGGGCGGCTCCTGGTCAGGGCGAAGCATCCGGCTCCCCCACTAAACCTCCCTGGCAGCGAGGGGCCGAGCGGTGCAGGTGGAGCGTGTGCGGTTGAAGATGACGCTTTTCCATTTTAACTGCTGGGTTGGTTTGGTGTGTGACCAGAACTAACCCGACAGGGTGGCCGGGGCAGCTTAATGACAGCTGTGTCTGCTAACGAGAGGCCTTGACGGGGCTTCTGCCTCTGGTGTTTGTCCTTGCTTCTAACGAGAGCGGAAACCCTGGAATTTGGCTGACGTGTGCATCTTCTCCCCCAAATTTTGGACCGATATGCAAACCACTGTCCCAAGCTGTGCCCTCCCTGGGGCAAGGGGAATCTGGTGGCCTGGGTATGTGTTGCTGCACGCTGGGGCAGCATCAGCCTGACGCTGGTCTGCAGGTGCAGTGGGATAGAGCTGAATTAAGGCAAACCTCGGCTCTCGGGCCAGTGTATTCACCTCCTGGCTCTATCACTCATGCTGCGTTGCAGAGGGGGTTTAGATCTTCCTCTCCCTCGCTGGGAACGTGCACGCACACAGACGTGTTGGCAGTGATTTATTACACAACGCTGCTCCGGTGTTCGTGCGACACCCAAGAAACCTTCCTCCTCCTCCTCTGGTTCTGCTGCTGTGCAGGATGAGGTCCTGGGGCTGAGCAGAGGGAGGGCTCCACGTTCTGGCTCTCCCCAGCAGCGTGGGGATTGCTGAGCCCTGCCCCTGTGAACGGGAGCAGTGCTGCAGCGCAGGCTCAGAGCCGCTGTCCTCGCAGCTTGGCTGCGACCACGGGATATCTCTGAAGGACGGGGTGTCCTTGGAGGCAGGTGGGGAGGGTTCCTGGCAGCAAGGCGTGGGTGAGCGCCGTCCCACTCCTTCCTCCCATCCTCCCCTCTGCCACCAAGGTGCAGCACCCATCCAAGAGCAGATTTCTGGAGGGGAAGTGGCCACAGGGCAGCAGCCTCCATCCAGCTGTAGTGGGGAGATTCTCAACTCCCTCTGCCCTCACCAGAGCAGCCTCTGGGGTCCTGGGTCTGGTCCTGCCATGGTCCCATCCAGCGCTGGGCTACTCTGCCTCTCCATCCCTGAGCAAATTAAAGTGGGACTTTAGCAAAGCCCCTGCTAAAGCTTCTAAGCAGGTGCCCGCTCCTGTTAACGAAGAGCAAATCAGTGACATAAGACAGACAGCCTGGATAATCGCAGCGGGTCTGGCTCCCGCGGGGACACTGGTAGGTGAAGCTGGTCCTCGACCTGCAGCCAAGGATAGGGCTTTAGCAATGCTCCTGCTTCCCTGGGGTCAGCTCCTCCTTCCCAGAAGCTCCCAGAGGAGCCAGGGTAGATGACAGTGTCACCTGGGGGCTGTGTGGAGCAAAATGAGTCTTTCCCAGGTGCTCGGCCACCAGCACCAGTGCCAGCCCAAACTGACATCCACTGTTGGCTCCTTGGAGGGCTCTTTCCGCCCCGCTGGATGAGGAATGGCCTCATAAAACCCCTGCTGGCTCTTGGAGTGAAGGGTAGTGCCGAGCTCGGCCACTGTTGGTGCTGGTGGGGCAGACCACTGGGGTGCTGCCCATCTTCATGCTCTGGGATGTTCTCAGCTTCTCCTTCGTGGCTGCCCTGAACACACTGAGGGTAAATAAATAGTCTGAAAATGAGGCCAAAACAGCAGGTTGCAGAGCTCTGGTGTGTCCGAGGGGACAGCCCATTGCTCTTCCCGTGTTCCCTGGTGAAGTCTGGGCTCTGGTGCATCCTCCTGAAGGGCCAGTGTGGGTTCAAGCACAGCAGTGCAGGCCAGCAGTTGAGATGGAGGTTTGGGGACCCTGGCTGTCCCTCCTTGGTCAGCAGTGGGTGTTGCTGCTGCTGTGCTGCAGGAACTCGGCTCCGGCTGCCCTTTACCCCCCACTCTCTGTTCAGTCCGCAGTGCCCGCTCCCAACTTTGCCATGCCCGTGACGGTGCCGGTGACCAACCAAAACACGCTGCAGTTCAGCAACCCGGGCAGCTCGCTGGTGACCCAGTCCCTGGTGACCTCGTCGCTGACAGACCCCCGGCTCCTGTCACCGCAGCAGCCGGCACTGCAGAGGAACACGGTGTCCCCGGGGCTGCCGCAGCGGCCAGCCAGCGCAGGTGAGCCACACCATGACCCTTCACACCCTCCCCTCCCCATCCTCCCTGCCCGGAGCCTGGCTGGGCATGCAGCACCAAGCACAGGGCATCCCGGGTGGCAGGGGACGCCCCTGCTGCCTCCATCCCCTACCCAGGGGTCCGTGTCCCAGCATCTGTGGGTGGCAGGAGCAGCCTGGAAGTGTTGTTGCCCCTGGCCGTGTGCTCCTGTCCTCCTGCCAGAGGTTGATGCCCCCAGTTTGTGCCTTGGCCCCAAACGAAGGGCAACCCCCCTGCCTTACCCAGATCTCTTTGAGAGCTGGATCCCCGCAGGGATCTGTTTCAAGGTTGGACAGCACAAGATGAGTCACCCAGCGCCATTCCCAGGCTTGGGGGTGGCTGCTGGCATCCCGCTTGCCGGTGGCACTCCGGTGACATGGGACTGCTGCCTAAAAAGGGCTGTTCTGAGTCGGGCTGGGCTGGTTGCAGTTGGTCCCAGTGATTACTCATGTGGCTCTGCTGACAGATTGGAGGAGCCATCATTTCCAGCAGGGACCGGCGATGGGTGGCAGAGGGCGGGGTGGAGGAGAGGAGTTGTCACCCGTGTCCCCTGCAGTGCCGGGGGGGGGGAACGAGGACGACGTGTGACCACAGCCCGGCTCTCCCACAGTGCGATCATAAATAATAATAGCGTGCAGAAAGCCCCTGCCTGCTATTTTGGGTGTCACAGATGGTCTGTGAAAGTTGCATGGGCTGCAAAATGGCAGAGCCGGTGCCTGTGACTGCCTGGACGTCTGGGCGGTGGGTGCTTGGCTCTGGCCCCCCGGCGCTGTGAGAGCTCGGGGGGGCTCTGCAAAGGGGGTGGATTTGGGGAGAAGGGCTGGGAGGTGCCTCCAGGTTATGTGGTGGGTCAGGGCGAGCACAGTGAATTGCCTGGCTGGGATGCAGTAGGAGCCGTGGTTCAGAGATGGCTTGTTTGCTCACTGCTCTCCCCTCAGGGGGTCTTTGAGGTGCCTTGAAGTGCTCAGGTATCAGTATCAGGATGAAGCCCCAGACTTGCAGGACAGGGCTCATTCCATTCTAAGTCTGGTCCCACAGAGCAGCATCTCACTGCAGACAGGGCAGCAGAACCCTCCTCAGGCACGGGCAGCCAGCGCTCCGGCTGCAGGGATCTCCACCCTCTCACAGGCCCCTCGGCTGAGAACAGAAGAGGCTCCCTGGTAAAACAGACCCCGCTGGGGGCTCGCTGTTTCCAGCTCGCTCGCTGCTCGTTTGAGGGGGATCATTTTGTGGTTGCGAGTCCAGAGGTGTTCCAAGTCTGGCCATCTGTGTCTCATTCGCTCGCTGCCTGGGACACAGAAGAAATCCTGCGTGTGGGAGCCAGGGCCTTGCATGTTAGAAAAACTCCCTTTTTTCCCTTAAATTTTTTTTAGCACTGCACTGGAGCCGGGAGTGTTGTTTCCAAAGCAAATGCGCAGCGAGTGCTGGGTGGGTGCCTTTGCACTGCCCAGTGCCATCGGCTCGGGGATGGGAGAAGGGCAGACAAGGGGTTGTATAGGGCTGGGAGCAGGGTTGGCATCACTCACCCAAGGGAGTGAGCCCACTTCAGCAGCCTGGGCACCAGAGGTTGGGGTGCAAGTGGAGTCCCACAGCAGGGCACAGTCCTAAAATCCTGGTGGGTTCCCTCCTCCAGGACTTTAGAGGCACCAGGACCTCTGGCTTTACAGCCCCGTTCCTTGAAGGGAGGATGCTGTGGTGCCGTGTCTGCCACATTTTGTGGGTCACCTTGCCCTTTCTCAAACTGTACAATATTTTGGACCACTTCTGTTCCCAACCCTACTCCCATGTGGGGAGCAACTGTACTACCCTGCACAGCAATGGCTCAGCTCTCCTACCCTCCTCCCGGTGTCAGGGGCTCGCTGCAAGCCTGAAGCCAAGAGCCATGGGCTGAATAAAGGTTTCTGTCTCAGGTTTCCCCATCTGGGTTGAGAAGGGCTGGGCGGTGGTTAGAGGTGGGGTTTGGGATCGGAGGCTCCTCGTTCCCCAGCCCAGGGCTCCAGGATGACTGCGGTTGCAGCTTCAGAGCCTCCGTGCCGGCTGTTGGCCACAATCGCCGCCCCCGGCGTAGCCAGGCAGCCCCAGCTGGGGAATAGGTGGCTTTCAGAAGTGACTCCATAACATGGCAGAAAAAAGTAAAATCTTCTTGCAGGAGAGGCAAAATGTTCAGTTTTTTGGGAATGTAAAAGCCCCCTGTCTGTTTTTTCCTGGCCTGGTGGGGAGTGGCGGCACTTTCCAAGCGTTGGGACCGTGGGAGGCCGGATCGTAGCAGCGTCCTGGCAGTGCAGGGATGGTTTCCATTCGGCGTGAACATTACAGGGGGGATAGTGTTTCACGTCGTGCTGCTGGGGCTCTCTTCCCCAGCAGCACCGACCCCGTGTCCCCCAAAGGGGGGCTTGGAATAAAATAGCCGCAGTGTTTTCCAAGCTGCCTCCTTTGGAGCAGGCTCCTGTGCACCTGGCTCCTTCCCAAAGGAAACGGATCTGCCTGGATAATGTTTCCCAACCTGATCACCAGGAATGCTGCTCATTTCACCCAGGACTTTCTCCCTGGTGCTGCAACCCCACTTATAATATTTCTCTGCTTTCCTCCACTGTGCTCCTCCCCCACTTCCTGCTCCCCAAAAGTAGGGATGCTCACCCTGTTTCTGTGTGGATGGTGACCCCGTGTTTCCGGTTGCTTTGCAGGGGCGATGCTTGGGGGAGACCTGAACAACACAAACGGAGCCTGCCCAAGCCCTGTGGGTAAGTGAGGAGCCTTTCAGCCCTGTGCCCAGGGCCCCGTGTGCCACTCCTGCCCATGGTTTTCCCATGTGTCCCATAGGATTTTGTTTTGCTATTCAGCGGGAAGCGCTGGGGAAAATTTTGCTGCCATTGGCAGTGGGAGAAGTTGGCATGTGGAGCTCTAGCCTTTGTGGGGAGTGCTGGTTTCAGTGAAGACCCCAAAGACAGGTCTGTCCATCTCCCCTGGGTCTCTGGGATTGCTGAAGATCAGAGAAGTGATCCCTGAGGACCAGGATTTGGGCAGCACTGGGTTTAGCTCCTCACGCTGCAGCCAGTTCCCCCCCTGACCTCAGGTGATCAATTAACACTCAGTTCCTCCTCACGCTTGGGCCCTGTAAAGCAACTTTACTGCAAGGAAAAAAGCTCATTAAGGTCCCTTTCCACTGCGAGAGCCTCAATGCTAACAAGGCTCAGGCCTTGTGGCTCAGCTCCCTGGCTGTAAAATGCATTAACAACATCTCCATCCCCATGTCTGCCTCCCCCATCTGCAGGCTGAGGGCCCAGTGCTGGTGTGGGCACAGCACAAAAACCAGTGATGGCCCCAGGTCCTGCTGGGAAGCTGCTGCAGGCCATGGGCTTGGGCTTGGCAGGGTGGATGCCATCCGTCCCAGGGTGAAGGCAGCCTTGCTCCAGGAGCATGGCTTCTCACCCCCTCCAGGCCTTTTTGCAGCAGGGCTCCAGCTGACAGCACAGAGTAGGAGTGTGAAATTCCACATTGCCCCAATTAAAACCACATTGGAGCTGGGTTCCATGGGTCGTGTGGATGGGGCTGGTCCAGTTGTGGTTCGGCAGCGCTGTGGCCGCCTGTCCCTGTGCCCTGCACCACAGCCCCTCCTGGGAATAGTCTTTTCCCTGTGCTGGGCAGCAGCCATGCCAGTGCCAGCGGGATTTCTTCCCAGCTGCGCCTCCAGAGCAAACCCTGCCAGGGCGGGTTGGGAGGCTGCATCTCCCTGGGGCCTCGCAGTGCCCGACACGAAGCTTTGCTGCTCCTTGAGGGCAGAGGGAAGGGGCCCTTGAGGGCAGAGGGAAGGGGCCGTCGTGCCCCGGCCCGCCAGGCCAACCTTGGCGGCCCCGGCCCCCGCGCCCCCACAGGTCAGCTGTCGGGAGCAGCGTGGCGGTCGGAGCTTGGCAGGGCCCGTGAATGTCAACATTGAACGTCACCGGAGATTCCCGCGTTCCTGCGGCCGCTGTGCCAGGAAACGGGTGTGAGTGAGCCAGGGACAGCCAGAGACCGGGACCAGCCCCGGACCCACGCTGTCCGCCCCTGCCCGCCCGGGGCTCTCCCTCACGGCTGCGGAGGGGAGGGGGCTCTGGCTCTGCGCTCTGGCACTGCGCTTGCGGTTTCAGCTACCTTGGGATCATCTCTTCCTCCTCCTTCTCCTCCTCCTCCTCCTCTTTGCAGTTCTGCAGCACTGAGTGATCAACCTGGCTGCATCTGAGTCATCAAGCTGCGGAGTGCCTCTGGCTGGATCTGCAGCGATGCCGGCTGTATCCCGGCTGTATCCCGGCTGTATCCCGGCTGTATCCCGTCTGTATCCCTGCCCATGCACCACAGCGTGTGCCACCCTCGGGATGCGGCACCCGGCCCACCCTGCCTGCCCTGAGAAGGGGATGCTGAGCCCTGGTTGTCCCCAGTTCTGCTCAGATTCACATTGGGGTGGTGCAAAGGCAGCCCAGAGTGCTTCACTTTTAGACCTCTTTTTTGGGGGGTGGGAAATCCAGGCAGGAGCACAGCCCTTCTCTCTCTGGCTCACTGGGGTGGCCGGGTCCAGGCTGGGTGGAGACAGTGCTGACAATGCTCAAGGCCACCTGTCTTTTGGGGTGAGTGGCAGCACTGGAACCCAAACCAGCTTCCCTCCAGCACAGGGGCCACCCCGATCCACACCCCAGGTGACACACACGATAACATGCCATGCCTCAAACAAGGAGTCACCATGAGAGCCACGTGTGTACCCATGTCGGTGCCACCTTGGGCAGGAGAATATCAAGGGGTTTAACATTTCTTTTGGTTTATCCATGGCCACTGGCACTGTGGGTAGTAAAGGTCACCCGGGAAATTTCTGCACCTTTGTTGTTAATAAATCTAAAAGCCAGTGGCCTTGTGAGCGGGACAGCTCACGGTACCGGGACCTGATGCACCAGGCACATGCCTTATGCAGGGCTGTTCACGGTGATTCAGGCCTGGAGGACACCTCACTGGGGACAGGAAAGCTGGTCCTCTCCCTCCATCAGGAACGTGGGTACTGGAGTTGCCAGCCTGCAGCAGCCTGGCCACCATGGGCATCCCCGATGGCAGCTCCCAGGCACCTGGTGGGGCGGCACCTCCCGTCCCTGGCGGCATCGGTGGGATCAGACCATGGCTCCCAGGGAGCGTGGCTGTCCCCTGTGCCTGGTTCACCCCATCTCCGCTGCGTTCAGCCCCGGGACAGCTCTGGAGAGGCAGTGGCTGGCACTCGGCCCCCGCACGCCGCGGCTGCGGCGTCACTGCCACAGCCGCCTGCTGAAATGCAGATGCAGCGCAATGGTAGATGTGATTAATAATGCAATCAGCGACCTATTTTTCCTGGTCTAACGTGCAATGAATATGAGGGCTGAATCCTGGTGATTGCTGAACGCCTTTCTATCTTTGGGGCCTATTCAGAAAAAAAAAACCAACCCTCATCAGAACAGTAATCTGATCCAATTTATTCCTTTCCTGATGTTCATCAAATCTTTTCCTTTTTAATTTTTTTCTTCCTTTCCTTTCTTCTTTTTTTTCCCCCTCTTTGCACATAAAATCCTTAAGTGGGGCATCAGGAGGAGGAGGAGGAAGGAACCTCAGATCTTCAGAGGGGCAATGGGAGCAGTGAACTGAGTCCTCGCTTGGCCATAGCCCCTTTTTGCTGCTCTGGTACCCTAAGGAGACCTTACAAGTGAATGTGCCAGTAATTACCTGCCGTGGCAGAGCTGTGGTGCCCGGCCAGAGCATGTAAAGAGCCTCTGATCAGGCCTCTGAGATGTACCAGGTGTTACTGCAGGAACAAAAGGGAGTTCCTGCAGGTTGAGGAGCTGCCCTGGACACTGGGGACTCAGGGCCACTGCCTACCCTGCCCTCACCCTGCAGGGTGAGCCTGTCTAGGTGCAAAAGGGTGTTGGGGAGCCTGGGGGGATGAGGTGCTGCTCTCCCTGGGAGGAGCATCCATGGAGCCCCACTGTGGCACTGCTTGCTGTGCATGTGCATTCACCATCACCATATATTTACCACCATGTATTTACTACAAGTGCATTCACCACTGCCATGCGTTTGTAGAATCATAGAATCATGGAATGATTTGGGTTAGAAGGGACCTTAAAGATCATCTAGTTCCAACCCCCTATCATGGGCAGAGACACCTCCCACTAGACCAGGTCGCTCCAGTCTGGCCTTGGAACACTGCCAGGGTTGGGGCATCCACAACCTCCCTGGGCAACCTGTTCCAGTATCTCACCACCCTAACAGCAAAGAGTTTCATCCTGATATCCAGCCTAAATGTCCCTTCTCTCAGTTTGTACCTGTTCACCACCATGCACTTACCATTGCCGTGCTTTCACTGCTGTGCATTCGCCATCACACCGTGAACTTACCTCCTTCATCTCTGTCACCCATTTTCTTGCAGGAAATGGCTATGTGAGTGCCAGAGCCTCGCCGAGTCTCCTTCCTGTGTCCAATGGCAGCAGCCTGGGCAAGATCATCCCAGCCAAGTCCCCACCGCCCCCCTCACATGGGACGCAGCTCGCCGCCAACAGCCGCAAGCCAGACCTGCGTGTGATCACCTCGCAGAGCGGGAAGGGGCTGATGCACCACCTGGTGAGTGCCCGTGGGCCTGTCGGGACACCGGCTGGGGTGGGAGCGGGTCCCCTGGCAGTGGACAGGCCGCAGGGGGACTTGGTGCTGGAGCAGATGCCGTAGTAGTGGAAGCTGGCTGGGGCTGTGCCGGCAGGGAGATCTGAGGAGGAAGGTTTGGATTCCCGTTGTGGTGCCGGCGAGCGCGGGGTGCGGCGGGGATGGGGCGCTCGAGTTAACGGTGCCTCTCGGTTCTCTCCCTGTTCTCCCGCGGGCAGACCGAGGACCACTTGGCTCTGGTGAGTTCCCTCTGAGTGTGCATGGCAGCAGGGTGGGACGTGGGCCACTTGTCCCCCTTGGTCCCCACACCCTGCCCTGGCTTGACAGAGGTGTGGAGCATGCGGAGGGGGTGGACACTGGCTCCTTTGCCCTCCGTTGGGAATGTGGTGGGATGTGGGCACCGAACACACATCCAGTCCTGCCTCAGAAAATCAATCCCAGGAAAAATGCCCTTATAGGAAAATCGAGTACCCTATGGAAAAGAAGGAGCTGACACGAGCTGTAAAGCACCTGTTTCTCTGCCAAGGCCAAAAGAGTTGTGCTAGTCACCCCAGGGAGGTGAGCCAGGGTCCCTTTGGGGGCTGTAGAGCCAAGCTGGGCACCGCCACTGGCCTGGACCTGCCCCGTGGGCTTTGCTGGAGCCACCACAGTTACAGCACGGGAAGACCTGGTCCATTGCCAGCACATGAGAGACAGGGAGTAAATCAGGCTCTTCCCATATTAAGGATATTATTTAAAGCCTGTGTAAATCCATGGGCTGGCTAGTGCAGTCCCTAAACCTCCCTTGTGCACGGGGCACTTTTCCGTGTTATTTTTATGGCTTTTTTTTCCTCTTCCTGCCAGCAAAGTGAATGCCACCTTGTTTGTGGCAATGATTCACTCTGCTCCGTTGCTATTCTGGTGCAGGGCAGATGGGCGACAGGTCAGCGCAGCGAGGGAAGGGCAAGAGCTGCTGCAGGATGCAGATCACAGCCAGGGAAAAGCTCTCCAAAACACAGGAGTAAGCCAGTCCCTCTGGCAGCCTGCAAGGAGACACTCTTGGCCAGGGCAGGGATGGGCCAGGGCTTTGGCAGACGTGGATTCTTTTGCTCTTTGTACCCCCAAACCCTTCTTGCTTAGTGGCCCCCTCCCAGCAGCTCCCTGCCTCAGTTTCCCCATGTGCAGAGGGAGAGCAGTCACTGCCCTCCTCCCGGTCTGCTCATCCCCATTCCCACTGCCCAAGGCGTTCCCAGGCTCCGGGAAGTGAAGAACATCCTCTCCGCAGCTGAGGTGGCAGAAGGGAGGTGGAGGGTGATGAAATACGGCGAGTGGGGGACAGGGACTTTGGCACAACTGGATCGGGAAAGGGAATGCGGAGCATTGTCCCTGCTGATCCCTCCTGTCCGGTACAGCTGCCCCCCTGCTCCATTAACCTTCTCCCTAGATTTGCTCCCTCCATATTGCTCAACCTACATACCAGATCCTCTCTCCAAATGGCAGCTCCCACCTCTTTCCAGGCAGCAGCGGGATGAGTCAGCGGCCCCTCCGCTGCGTCCTGCCCCTCTGCCCAGAGCCTCTACTGGCAGCCCCAGCCCTGCCAGCCCCAGCCCTGCCAGCCCCGGCTCTGCTCCTGCAGCTTTGGGCTCTGAGCACGCTCTGCTCCTTTAGAGGGTTCAGAGAGGCATCCCCCCATTTGTCTCCACACTTCTAACATGGCAGGGGTATCAGGATCCATTTGCAGAGCCCACAGCAACACATGGGCTCCCTGGGAGCATGTGCATGGTTTGGTGCCAGCTGGAATGGCAGTTTGCAACTGGAGTATTGTGTGTGGGCATGGAGTGTGAGTGGCCCGGGGTGGGGGGCAGCTTGCACACCTCCTCTCTGCATGGATTGGGTGAAAATCAGGATGACATCCCTGCACTCGCCTTGTGATTCCCAGGGCTGATATGCCTGATGCAGCCTATGTCCCAGCAGCCCAGCCCCCCAGTGTGGCCACACTTGTCCCTGTGCCTCCGCTCTCCTGGGAAAGCTGCAGAGCCCCAGAGCAAGGGGCAGAGGTGATGGGGCTGGGGGCTGTGGGCTGCATCCTGCTGAGCTGGCTCGGGGTCCAGTACACGCAGGAGAGGGATGGGGCTGGGTCCTGCTCTCTGTGGAGGCATTTCTTGCCGTGTCCTTAACCCATGGCAGTGGGCATGGCCGAGGGTGGCTGCCAGCAGGATGCGTGCCAGGAAAACCCGCTTCTAGAGCCCAGGGCTTTAGCAATTAGAGTCCTGGTAATCGCCTTCCCTGGGCGGGCAGCGGGAGGGACCTGCGGGCTGGGCACCATGTGGGCGTCGGGTGTGCAAATCCAGCACAGCCGGGTGCTATCACCCTCTGGAGGTGGCCAGGGCAGGGTTTGAGCCTCCAGCCTTATCCCGGGAGAGTCCCCATGGCCATGAAGCATTGCATGGTCCATGCCCAGCCCTCCAAGGCCCTGGAAGCCCTCGGTGTGGGAGGAAGGCTCCTCACTGTGTGCTGAGGGCGCAGCCAGCCTCGTGCCAGGCATGATTTAAGCTGGGCACTGCCCCAGTCTTCACAGGGTGACGTGTGCTGGGGTGCTTCGGATTAGAGGCAAGCCTCTTGAGTCTGATTTAAATCAGATCAGCAGAGACAGTCCAGATTATCTGCCTTGTAAACAGGGCTGAATCTGACCTGTAGATCCGCCCACGTAACTGCCTGGAAAACCACAGGGGGAGGCTGGCGTGCACTGGTCCAAGGGCAGAATTTTTCCACAGTGGACCTGCTAATGCCTGAGTCACACAAACCTCATGAGGGCACCGAGCTGGCAGGTTGCTGAGCACTGGACTTCAAGTTTAGGGATGCCACAGAGTCCCTTTAAAATCCTGAGGCCAATGCTCAGCGTCCTCAACTTCCCTTGAGGCAGATCTTGGCCACTGGAGCTGCAGGGAAGAGGATGTGTCGGCTCTGCGCTGCCTTGGCTGGTCCTGGTGGTCCCTTTGTCACTCCTTGGTAGCCCAGCAAACCTCACACACAACCTCTGGAAAGCAGTGAGGAATAGTCTGAAGCATCCTGCTGACATTTGCCCCCCATGCACAGAGGGACATGGCTGGTCCTGGTGGGTGAAGCCCAGCCCTGGGCAGGAAGGGGGACATAAGGCCAAGTGACCTGCAGATGAGTGCCACAAGGTCCAGAGTGGCAGTAGCTGGTGTGGTTTGCACTTTGCTTTGTTGCAGTGTGGAATGGCCAGGGGATCAATCCTGCTTATCCCACAGTCTCTGTGCTCAACCCCAGTGCATGCCTAGGGGGTCTTGAGGGGCCACAACCCACGAAGACGACAGAGTCCAACCATCTGGGTTTTAATTCCCTCCCTGTTTGCTCCCACAGCAGAACACGCAGAGGTTGGGTGTCTCCCAAGCAACTCACTCTCTGACCACACCGGTTGTTTCCGTGGCAACTCCGAGTTTGCTGACACAGGGGCTGCCCTTCTCTGCCATGCCCACAGCGTACAACACAGGTAAGAGCAGTGGCCAGGTCTGAGCTCTCCCCTGAGTGAATTAACAGGAGAAGGAAATGTGCTGCTGCAGGGATGTGCCTGTGCTCTCCGAGCAGCTGCATCGTCGCTCACGGAACTTGCCGCTGGAAGACATGCTTGAGTCCGAAGGTTCCACAGGATTAAAATCAAGGGGAAAGTCATTATATAAATGCTGTCATAGCCAGAAGGGCTGTGAGGGCTGATCCTGCCCCACTGTAGCCCATCAAACTGTGCAAGTGGATGCTAATTACAGCTACACCCATCCCTGGGCTCTCCAGAGCTCGGGGGATGCTGTAATAGGGGCTTAATGACAATGAGCGTAGGCCCCCAAAAGTTTGGGAAGAATGCAAACCAGCCTGCTCGTAGGCACATCTGATTCAGGCTGGCGGGGTTCAAGCCAGCCCGAGGCGACGGTGACAGCACAGTTGCCCAAGCAAAGGGGTTGTTCATCTGCCACCTGTCAGACCTCCGTGAAAACTTTGAGGACTTGCTGGTTGCCTGTGTAACTTGCTCTGAGCTCAGAGGAAAGTTTGCAAAAATGTAAAAAGCTGCTTGTCTGGAAGAACCCAGAACAGGCGTGTTGGGAACTCCCTCTCCTAAATTAGTAGGTGTAGCCCTGAAGATGCCGGTTGTGCGTGATGAGGCTCCTCTCCCCGCGTGGCAGCCGGCGCTGGCCGTGCCGTTCGCCAACCAGGCTGGGCACAGCCAGAGTCCCCAAAATAGGTTTTAATTGAGCCCTGTGCTGCTGCTCAGGGCGGAGGGGCTGAATTTCAGCTCTCTGTAGTTATTTTCTCTCAGAGCTGACCACGGGCAGAGCCGTGTTCCTGCCCGAGCACCAGCAGTGTCTGTGCCACAGGGTTTGCTGTGGGGTGAGCGTGGGGGGCATCGCTATGGGGTGCAAACTCCAAGCCTGGGCTGTTGCCACTTGTTTTACGAGGGCTGCCCTGTTAATTAAGTGGGAATTATCTCGATTTGTGAAGGATCTTGAGCACAAGGAGTGGCTGAGGGAGCTGGGGGAGCTCAGCCTGGAGGAAAGGAGGCTCAGAGGGACTCCCTCACTGTCTACAACTCCCTGACAGGAGGATGGAGCCAGGCGGGGTTCGGGTTCTTCGCCCAGGTAAAAAGTGACAGGACAAGAGGAAATGGCCTCAAGTTGTGCCAGAGAAGGTTTGGGTTGGATATTAGGGAAAATTTCATCATGGTAGAGGTGGTCAGGCATTGGAACAGGCTACCCAGGGCAGTGGTGGTGTCACCATGCCTGGAGGGATTTAACATATGTGTGGATGTGGCACTTGGGGACATGGATTAGTGGTGGCCTTGGCAGTGCTGGGGGAATGGCTGGACTTGATGGTCCTGGATAGCTTTTCCAACCTAGATAATTCCATGATTCTGTGATGCTGCCAGGATGATCATCTTGTGGGTCACTGTGGGGTGCAGATACCCTGAGCAAACTCCCAGCCTGAGGCGTTACCACTTGTTCTTTCCAGGACTCACCTGTTAATTGAGTGGGAATTATCTGGATTTCGAGTGGGTGCAGTTGTGCCAAGCTGCCTGGCCAGGGTCACGTGCCCTTTCCCATGCCGGCTCCGCAGCTGGATTCAGTCAAACCCAACCATTCCCGGCTCTGTGATCCAGAGAGGCTCCAGCTCCAGCCCTGGTGGGGGCTGTGGGGGCGGCCACTGTAACCAGTGTGTGTCTGGAGCTCCCAAACCAGAACGGCCGGTGCGGGAGGTGG